AATCGAAAAACTAAGGTCAGATTCGTGATCAGCGTCGAAGGGCGCATCTAATGATGTGCGTTTTATTGAAAAAGCAAATCCACTAAAACTCTGAATTAGCAACGCCTTATAAGAGTCTTATAAGAAAGTGGTAAGAGTTTCATAAGAAACCGATAAAAACTCGGCTGTATTTTTTATGAAATACCTATTTAAAAAAGATTTTGTTTTTCTGGAAATTGATTAACCCATAAGTTTACCACTGTCAGTCCTACATCAAAAAATTTGAAAAATCCAGCGATCCGTTCAAGGTTCGAACCTGAGATCTGTATATATTGTGCTGTGATCGTACAATAGAGTGATCTGAAACTACACGAAAGTGTCGGCGCTTTATTCAGTACTTTTTGGTGACAGTTCTTTAATGCAATCAATAACGTTTTCCTTGTTCTCTGTTATCCTGACTTATTCTAACATCTGTGTTGAAATAAATATTCTATCTATTTTGAGTAAGGTGCCCACAATTCAAAGATCGAGTTAAAATTGTTTTCTTGACAAATCATACACCATTCGACGCAGTTTTCGACACTGATTTCGGATATGTAAGATTGATTGAGAAGAAACGCTTTCGCCTGGTAGAAAACCTCCAAATACTGAAAAACCGGCGGATCCGATAAAAATCGCCTCTTCCCGGAAAATTTCAAGTTTTTCTTTCCCAGTTGGTCTAAACTGAAAATGCTTTTTTTCATTAGATTCAGCATGAAAAGTCGAACCGGAATATTGTGTTTCGAAACCGTTCGCTTACCACCGGATCGATGTATGGCCCATTTTCAGGGGGAGGCCTGAAAGTTCGACATCTTTCGATTAGTTAATAACTCCGACTGGACAAAAGATAAACTTTTAAATCTTACGTCAGTCGAGCTGACATATGAGCACGATAAAAGCGACGTGGGCTTTGTTTTTATTTTTCTTCCTCCAGAGAAAATCACATTTTTTTGAAGGGTGACACAATCCTTCGGGTCGTCCTTGAATAACTCAGAGAAATCTCAAGTTAAGAAGCTAAACACTTCGATTTCTAGGTGAAAAGACACGGAGAATCCATTGATCATATTGTTGGGATATATAGAGTGTATTACTAAAATACGGTAACATCCACTAACACCCCCAAATTAAAATCCGAGATTACCGGTCGATAGACCTGTTCTTTGTGAATAAACAAACACCGAAAAAATTTATTTCAAAGAGGATTCTTTCGGGCTTTTCCGTTACGAACACGCACTTACACCCTAAACAGTGGCGCAAACACCCAAAATAATATGCCAGAATAATCACCATCCTTTTTTGAGCATATTAGATCACTTTTGAAGATTAAGATTAAGATTTATTTACTAAAGAGCAGGATATCACAAAAAAAGAAACAAAATCTTGTGGCACCCGTGGATAGTCTGTGATAACCTAAAACTAAAAATTTAAAAATATAAATAAGGAAATCTGATGCGAGCAAAGGTGGTCGGACCACTGAACTTTGGAGTGTGATCCTCCCGTATAATCAAAAACAATTTTTTTCTCAATTCAAAATCACGTAGTTAATGAATATTGTTACTTTTCGTTAATGTTTTTCGCGATGGAATACACAAAATGAAGTTTATTTCGACGAAATATTATATCATAACATTTGTTGACAAAGAACAGAGGAGAAGATTACAGTACATATTTGAATATAAGTCATTTTTCTGTTCTGTTATTATGAAATATGTTTTCGAAGAAGAACAAGGAGAATTATCAAAAAGCAAATAAAACATATGCATATGTGTATGCAAACAACACTTAAAGTATACTTCTATAATATCATTTGTATTCACCATGATTTTCGGACTATATTTTTCTTACTCAGTTTTTGATGCTCTTTCGCAGTGTTTTCGATACTAGTTTTGGTGGGGGGTGGCGAGCCTGCTGTATAACTGAAGTTTTTTTATTGAGTAACGCATTTTTTGACTAAAATTTTTTTTCTGAGTAACTCAGCTCAGACAAAAATGAGTTACTCAGAAGGTAGAGAAAATCACTTAATCAGGTGCATAAAAAGCAGTTTCTCAACTTAAATTTCATAAAAAAATTTGAGTAACTGTATCCAAGCTACATCCGCTACCACCCTCTAATTGATAACGCTGCGCTTTCGAATGGCTTAATCGGAATTCTTTTTCCACCCACTCATCTCGAGATTCAGCCGCCTCATGAAGAGTACGACACTCTTCGCTTAAATCGCATTTTCACCCTAAGGAAAAAGCTTTTCAAAATTATTTTTTTACCAAAATGTAGCTCGCGCTCTCTTCTATCCATTGATGTAGTTTCCATATTTGTCGGTGCTTATACAGCGTAAAAAAAGATTTTTATCAACCGTACAAATACCTTTAGCCAAAAAACATAGACGTCTCTATTGTTATAGCCATAAGTCTAGATACAAAATGCCTAGTGATTGCAAAATTTTACCATAGACAGCCGAGCCTCTCCTGGTGGTTTCACAATTTTAAAAAATACACTTCGTTACCGAGTTATGAGCAAAACAATATCATATAAATACTTTTTGCCGCTAATGTATTTAAAAATAATGAAGAAAAAAATACATATTCAGGAATAACAAGAACTAAGGAGACCACTAACTGGTCCGTCGACTTACTAACTGAGTATTCAAAATATACTCGAACTGCCTATAAAAAAATGTATGCTTTCTTATATATATATCCAAAATATCAAAGACATGTGACATAAAAGAAAAAATAAATAGAGGTAGCTAAAGATGATGCAATATATAGACCTAGAATAATAGTGATCACAACTGACGAAAAAAACAATAGATGAACGAAATAAAATAGACGAAATAGAAAAAAAGAAAAATGAAAATAGAGAGACGAAAAAGTAGACCATAGTCAGTAGGATACTAAAAGATCACACGTACACACATGTAAAAAGAGGTAAGGCAAAAAATAGAAAACTAAATACTAAAGAAAACGAAAGGACTAGAGCATTAAGTGTACCAGACTTAACAGGTATTCCACTACTCGTTAGGGCCTTTCTAACAAAAATAGTCCCAACCCGAAATCGATTTATAACCTCGGGTGGTTCCCTCGTTAGCCACAATGTAATAATTCTGATATCTATGATTTTTATTATTTTAATATCGTGATATTTCGACTTCTGGAGTCATTTTCAAACAATACATAAAAGAAATATACCGAAGTGAAGTAACACATAAGGTTCTGCTAATTCAAAGATTGAACAAGATATTATTTTTGCTTTATTATTTTTAACTTTTCGCATTTCTGTCAAATCCTTGTGATCAAACATAATACATCATGAATGAATACATCAGTTTGTAGAGAATTGAAAGAGCTATAAAACGGGCTATTTCAGAAAAACGGGTTTTTCCATTTTTTCGAAAAAATCACTTGGCCGTTTGTACCGTTTTGAAAAAGAAAGTGAAATAATTGGACAGAAAAGACAAAAATTTAAAATATCGAGCTATAACTCTTTTCTCCATTTTAAGGCGGTTCGAATGGCGTAAAATTTAAGTGTCTAGCGCTTTACGGAAACGACTTGATGCCTTTTTGAGCACCTTTTGGAAATGAATTTTTTTTGAATGACTTCTCGCCACTCAGAAAAATCGAAATACACTTTTCTATACCCACTGTCATCCACTGATTCCGAAAATAACATTCGGAAGTTTCGCCGACTTTCTGCAGCTAAGATATTGCTTGTTTTCTAAAAAGTCGAAATTTTTCGAAAAACCGGAGTCGTACTATTTTTCGATTTTCTTCTAGGGAAACGCGCACGGAAAATTTTTAACTATGATGTTCGTGATCAGCATAAAATTCTGCGTCGAATGAGTTGTATTTGAGGCAAAAATAATACCTTGCTCGATCTTTGAATTAGCGGATTACTAAGAACATGGGAGTTTTCTTTTCATTTAACTAGAACTCGACGAACTTTATAATTTTCTTCTTTCCTTTGTTTTTTAAAAAATGTGCGCATGTTTTAAGAAAAAACATGACATCATTAACGTGGATGGAAAAACAAGGGTCACTGACTAATGTTTGGTGGAACTAGTCTGCTATCACCTAGGCTGTTACGTTTACTTCTGTTCTCTAAACTATCAGGGCGGCAAGACATTTAACGGTGCTAAGCGATCTGTTCTATTCAATACGAGAGTTTGAACTCGAATGAGAATGGATTCTTTTATCAATAGTTATATTTTGTTGTTCTGGCACGAGAATACGAAAGTCGTTTGATGACAGTATGTGACCAGTAGATTCGTAATGTTTGGCTATGGTTGATTTTGCCACAACTCTCTGTTTAGGAGGATCAACGAACTTTGTTTGAGTAGCTAAGATTTCGTCTAATAGAATTCAAAATTTTTAACTGCTGTAGGAAGTTTTCCAGTTTGTGATCTTGTTATAGGTTCTGATTTAGGGTTTTTAGAGGAAGTCTGTGGTTTATACGATTTGTGGTATTTCGTGTAGTTTGTGAAGAAATAAGCTTGTTTCGATCAGAGATATGTTCATTGACTTTAGTTTTTAAATGTCTACATGTTTTGCCGATATATGTCTCTCCACATATAGAGCGTGTAGCTTGATAGGCCAATCCAGATCTTAATTCCATAGGAAATGGACCTTTTGTCGTAAACCCTGAATCTTTTTTAAAACATGCGCACATTTTCTAAAAAAAGGAAGGAAAGAAGAAAATTGTAAAGTTTGTCGAGTTTTAGTCAAAGGAAACGAAAACTGTCATGTGTTCTTAGTGTGTATTACTTCGTTTCTGTGTACTTCTAATATGTATTGTTTGAAAATGACTGTAAAAGTCGAAATATCCCCATATTAAAGTCATAGAAATTTTTTATTATAAAATTCTATACAGCTGCATTGACAGTCTTGCGTTTATTTTCACTCAGTTAAACGAACACGAAGGCGATCAGATCATTTACTACAAGTATCAAGTGTTTACAAGGGGCTCTTTAAAAAAGCGCCAGAAAACATATGGATCAATCAACATCATTCATCTCATCTCTAACCTGCCCATTATCATTAAAAATATATGATATAAGATATGAAGGTGAATACAAGGATGACAAGCGACATGGGCAAGGAGTATATACTTGGCCAAGTGGAGGAAGATATGAAGGTGAATACAAGGATGACAAGCAACATGGGCATGGGGTATATACTTGGCCAAGTGGAGGAAGATATGAAGGTGAATTCATGGATGACAAGCAACATGGGCATGGGGTATATACTAGGCCAAGTGGAGGAAGATATGAAGGTGAATACAAGGATGACAAGCGACATGGGCAAGGAGTATATACTTGGCCAAGTGGAGAAAGATATGAAGGTGAATACAAGGATGACAAGCAACATGGACGAGGAGTATGTACTGGGCCAGATGGAAGAAGATATGAAGGGGAATACAAGGATGGCAAGCGACATGGGCAAGGAGTAGATACTTGGCCAGATGGAAGTAGATATGAAGGGGAATACAAGGATGGCAAGCGACATGGGCAAGGAGTAGATACTTGGCCAGATGGAAGTAGATATGAAGGTGAATACAAGGATGACAACGGACATGGGCAAGGAGTATTTACTTGGCCAAGTGGAGGAAGATATGACGGTGAATTCATGGATGACAAGCAACATGGGCGTGGGGTATATACTTGGCCAGATGGAAGTAGATATGAAGGTGAATACAAGGATGACAAGCGACATGGGCAAGGAGTATATACTTGGCCAGATGGAAGAAGCTTTGAAGGTGAATACAAGGATGACGAGCGACATGGGCAAGGAGTATATACTTGGCCAAATGGAAGAAGATATGAAGGTGAATTCATGGAAGGGAAGTGAGGAGTTGTTTACTCTCATAAGTCATTCATTCTGACTGTTGCTTGAACACCGCACATCAAGCTTGCAAGTACATGAATGAGTGGAAAATCCAGCTAAACTGTAACTGCACGACATGTGTGATCCTCAGCCACAAAACATCAAAAAGTTCAATATAGATCGTAGTCTTATACATGTTCAACCACTAATTAGTATTAATTATTATTGATTTTAATGAAGATAGTTCTTTTCAGTTGATTTGTTAAATAAACGGTTGAATGGAAGGGGTCATGAAGGAAGTCATTCGCAAGAGCTTTTCAAGTACTACAAAATGCTATATTTTTTTTTTAATTCTTCACCAGGAGGAAAAGCGATTTATTTTCAGAATTCCTATCTGTTTACATGAAATTTTACTCTGACCATCCGATGAAGTAGGTTGCTTTTTCGGATAGCTCGAGATCACCATATGATAGATGAGACTCGGACAGAACTTTTCATAACCAAAATGAATCTGAAAACGTTTTTCGAAAACAAGGTTTTGGTAGAACCTCTGATAAACTCCCTCGCTTCAGTTGTGCGAGACCGTGGTCTTCAACGGTTTAAGTGTGATATCGAATATCACGACAGCCTCAGGACTGATATCTAGCGGTTTTCTTTCAAGGTAGACTGGAAAACCAAAATCTTCTTTAAAACTTTTCCTAATTTTTGTTTTATCGTATACGTAGAGCGGCACAAAATAAGACTTCTGAATTTTTCAGGTCGTTCTGACCAGTTATGGCGAAGTTACGAATTTTTGTTCATCACGACAGTAGTTGAGTTCAGCTTAATCGAGTACTGACAACACTGCCAAATTACGATTCTGCGAAAAAACTTCCGCAAGAAAAATTATTGCCGATATTGCGAAAGGTTTCAGTAAGCTGTTTATTGATGTCATGCAGTGGGAAAATGCCAAATAAATTGAATTTAAAAGAATTTAAATTTAAAATTTTACTATTTTAAACTTTTAAAAAGAGTTCAAATCGGAGCTGTCATTCCAGTATGCTTACTTTTATCGGAAAATTTGGTAAGAAGTTTTCAAAAATATTTTTTCGCTTTCCAGCAGACTAACGGAAAAATAAAGATGCAAATCCTATAACTCCGAGAGGAAGCATTTCCTGTGAAAAAAATTTCAGGATATACGAAACTCGATGAGCTGTACAATATACCAAAAAATGAAGAGGAGGTTACCTCCTTAACCGTCTCTTCCCCCCTAGCTTTCTCAGAAAAATATCTAAACGCGAAAGATTTCTTCATAGAAAAAAATGCGCTTACTATGCTGATGAACCGTTTTGTTCATATCGAAAAGGGTTTATACAATCAACGTCAAACGTTTAGAAACATCCTAGCTGGATGGATACAGAATACTCAGTGGGCATTTTGATGAAAAATCGCAGGTTCGAATTTTTAAATTTTGAATGATGACATATATACTATAAATAATGCCCTATTTAACGGTGAAAAGATTTTGGCTCTAGCTTCTTCCAAAGTTGAGAAAATTTTTAATTACAAAATTATCAGTAGAATTAGTATGCTGGCGCGTAAAATTGCATTTTCTCCGTCAAATTATTCGTCAAATTAGGCTTTCGACAATGCTCTTTCCAGTGGCATCGTTTTTAAATATTGAGAAAGTTTTCTGAAGGGTTTTCCAGAGACCGGATCTCTGGAAAACTCCTTAGAAAACTTTTTCAAAACCCAACTCTCATGCCAT